GGCAGCTACTGGACTTAAGAACCCTACTTTCCAAGAGAAAGATTTTATAAACCTCCATTGGCAACAGAAAAAACTAATAAGAAAACAGCTAATATTGCCATTGCCATTTCAATTGATCCTTTTTTTACAAATGTGACAGTTTTTCAAGGTTTCCATGATATGAAATTTTTCGAAATCTCTCCGAGTTTCTTTTTGTACATTAACATTTGCTCAAAGTAAACACATGCAGGAGGTGTAATGGATACTTGCACACAAATACCCTTAGGAAAAGTATGAATCCATGTTCTCCCCACATCTATGAGTTAAATAGTAGGACTTGCATCTAGAAAAATCATTGTTATTTTCAAAAATATTAAATGCAATATTCACTTGTAAAAAGAATTAAAAATTATTCTATACAATTCAAAATACAGGGTGCGATGGATAAATTGTCATCTAAATTACACAAAAATAAAAATAACACTGACATCTCATTTTAACAGATATATTTACCAAAATTACACAAAAATATCTTGCCATAATAAAGAGTAAATTTATTCAATAAAATCACCATTGGCTTCAACTAGACAACTATGGAATCTTGGGCAACTCTTCTGGACAGTCTCCTTGTTTAAGTTGATGAATGCTGTCATAATCTTTGCCTTCAGTTCATCTTTGGTGTCAGAAGTTTTGTTTTATCTCTCGCTCAACTGTGCCCCACACATAATAATCAAAGAGATTTATGTCTGGGGAGTTAGGTGACCAGATGGGTGATGTCATTGCTGAAATTGTCTGACAGCCATAACTGTGTTCTAGTACTTGTGTGGCATAGTGCATAGTCCTGTTGCCAGATATAGAGTCTTCCAGCAGCCACCCTCATGACCCAGGACAGCACTACTACCTCAAGACACTTGATGTAGGCCTTTGTGTTGAGCCTGAGGCCCTCACCAACAAATTCTGGAGCTCTTTTCTTATCAGAGTGTAGTGACACTGGTAAATTAATATGCCTAATTTGCATAAGTGCAAGAAAAAGCTTATATAACTCGTCACTGACAATAACGTGGAACGAAGACAAGCTTAGCTGTATGTCTTCTGTGTCTGACTTCTGTTGAACTCTCTGCTTTGGCTGACAGGAAACCGGGCGAAGCTTTGCCGAAGGGCAAAGTTTCGTCCAGGAAGATAGACAGGCCCTGAACCAGTCTAGGCGGGTTCAAAGGGTATATTTTTGGCCGAGCCTACAGGCTCGGATAAACCCACGTTAAACTCGGCCTTGTGCCACATGCAGTCCTCGTGGGGGGGGGGGTCTGTTAAATACCGAAGACAAGCTTAGCGACTGACTAGTGCTAAACTTCGACTTCACATCAATGGCGTCGCCGATAGGATCACATTTGTCTCTAGAAGATTCAGATTTCGTGGATGCATGGATTCGCTGTTTTTCTGCCAGTGCGAGAATTAAAAAGCTGAAAGACAACAAGGAGAAGGGAGGCGAAAATGAAATTACGGATTTATTTTTGGCTACAGCTGGATGCGAAGTGATAATGAAAGTCTCCACCATGGCATATCCCACAAACTTGGAAGACCTGACTTTCGAAAAAATAAGTCAGATTATAAGGAGAAATATGAGACCCAAGAAAAGGCTGGTAGTGGCAGAAAGAACGAAGTTCATGTTGATGAAACAAGAAATTGACGAACCAATTATAAAATATCTACACCGTCTACGAAATGCGAGTAGATATTGCAAATTTGAAAAAACTCGGACAAGACGAACAGACTATTGAAGAGGACTTGATACAATTAAGATTAATTGAAGGTATGTGCAATGCATCACACCGATATAAAATAATGGAACAACTACAAATAGGAAATATGTCTTTAAATACATGCATTGACTTTATACAGCAACAAGAATTAATACAGAAATACAACCATCATAAAAGTCAACCCAGCGAACAAATATTCGCTGATACGTACATGTTAAAAAAGATAAGAAAATGTTCGTATTGTGGACGTGAACACGAAATAAAAAGGGAAAAATGCCCAGCATTTGGAAAAACCTGTACAAATTGTTTAAAAAAGAACCACTTTCAAGCAGTATGCAAATTCAAAAAGAAAAACGTTGAAAGAGTTGAAGAAAACGAAACCAATATGGAAGTCTTCACATTAAAAAATAAGAATATAGAAAAAATTGAACAACAAAAAAAAGACATTATACTAAAGGTTAAAATCAACAACTGCAATTTAGATATGCAAATTGATACTGGGAGTGAAGTACCGCTAGTACCAAAAAAATTTTGGGAACGCATTGGAAAGCCACATTTACGAAAGAGCAGTTTACAACTCCGCCAATTTGATGGGTCGGTCATAAAAACTTTAGGATACTTTGAAGGTTCCTTGGAGTTAGAAGATAAATTTGAAGTAATAACTATAATTGTCACAAGTTGTAAAAAGAAACACGGACTTCTTGGAAACGACATGCTTAACATAAATTCTACCAAATTAATTAATGAGATAAAAATGAAAAAAACCGTAAAGTTAAAAAAACTATAAAACGAGTTTAAAATTAAAAGAAAATGTATCCCCCTCTTATTATGAGGCATGAAAATTACCAGTACATTTGTTGCCATTAGTAGTAACAAAAATTTGAAAATTAATAGAACAAGACCTTCTTGAACATGTTCCCCCTGGGGGTAGCAAGTGGGCATCACCCATAGTAATTTTGAGGAAGACAGATGGTGATTTACGTATTTGTGGAGATTACAAAATAGACGTAAATCACAAAGTTTGTTCGGATTCATATCCAATACCGAATGTTGAAGTTGCATGCACTGGCAGGAATGAGCGTTTTTACAAAAATAGATTTAAAAACGGCATACCACCAAATACCAATAGACGATAACTTCAAAGAAGTAACCACGATAAATACACCAATAGGGTTACTAAGATGGAAAAGCATGCCGTATGGAATAAAAACCGCAAGCGCCATATTTCAAAGGGCCATCGAACAGGTTTTAGAAAATATGAAAAATATGATTTGTTACCAAGACGATATATGCATAGGAGCTACTAATGAAAATGAATTAAAAAAGAAAACCGACATAATCTTGAATAGATTAAGAAATGCTGGAATGACAATAAATGAAAAAAAATGCGAAAAAAGCAATTGTAGTAAAATATCTTTTTTAGGTTATTCCATTTCAAAAAGAAGGTATATCACCAGACCAAGCCTTGATAGAAAAAAAATACTAAAAGTAGCTACACCTATCCAAAAAAAAAAGAACTGGAGTCTTTTTGGGATTGGTGAATTTTACAGGTGATATTTACCAAAATACACGGACTTGACTGAACCGTTTGCAAATTTAAGAAAAAAGAATGTTGAATTTATGTGGTCAGAGGAACAACAAAAAGCTTTTGATAGATTAAAAGTAATTATGGCAAAGCAAAGTAGTGAAAATGTTTGTTCCAAAAAAGGACATTTTGTTTTAACCACAGATGCAAGCGAACATTCGATATTGGGAATATTATCACAAGAAGGACATCCGATAATGTATTTATCAAGAAGACTAACGAACACTGAATTTAATTATTCGAATATAGAGAAAGAAGCATTGGCTATTGTGTGGACAACTACTAGAGCCCGACAATAATTCTGTTAAGAAGTGATCATAGATCATTAGAGTTTATATTTAACCCAAGGAAAGAATTACCCAAAGTCACGACATCGAGGATACTAAGATGAGCAATAAGATTAATGGCATTTGACTTTGACATAGAATATGTCAAAGGAAATTCAATTCCACACGTAGATGCGCTATCAAGATTGCAATTTTACAAGGAGTCAAAAGATAAAATAGAAGAAGAATTTGAAGATGCATTCTTGCATTGGGTAGAGACTGATGTTTTGTCTTTAGATAGAATGGCTGTGGAAACTAGACATGATCCAGTACTAAGTAAGATAATATCGAGAATAAGAAAAAACTCATGGGGAAATTGTTCTAGGGTGGAAAGACCCTACAAAGAAATAAGACAGAAATTAACGATAGAACATGGAGTGATTTGTAATGGGGATCAGGTAGTTCCCCCAGAAACACAAAGAAAATTGCTAATAAAAAGTGTACATGATGATATATACTGTGGAGTAGTGGCCACACAAAAAAGGATAAAATTAGAAGCATGGTGGCCGGGATATTCAAGAGATGTCGAAGAAGATATAAAAAGGTGCAAAAATGTAAAGAATTAAGAAGCTTTACACAGGCTACTTTATATTCGTGGCCCAGAGAAGTGGAGCCATGGAGTCGGGTGCATATGGATCATGCGTATATTACTGGAGTGAGACTCTTATTAATTCTAGTAGACTCTTTTTCAGGCTGGCCTGAAATAATCCGGGTGCGTGACAAGAAAGGTTCTACGATAAAACAGGGTCATATTTTCCAGAAACGGCATACCAAAACTCTGTTATCTGACAACGCACCAGAATTTTGTGATGAAGATCTTAATTTATGATTAGAAAAAATAGGATGTAAACCGTATAAGACACCCCCATATCACCCTCAGTCGAACGGGTTAGCGGAAAGAATGGTGCAGACCGTAAAAACGGGACTAAAAGCATGCTCTCAGCAAAAAGAAAAAATAGAAGTTTTTCTACTGAGGCTGCTTTTAAGCTATCGCACAATACCACACGCTGGAAGACTAGAAAGCCCATCAGCTTTAATGGGAGGACAAATTAGAGCTCTGCTAACGATGTCGTATTCCACAAATGAAAAAGTGTGGTACAAAAAGAACAAAGAAGCAAATCCGGAAAGGGCAGAATTTATCATGCAAAACGGCCACAATACAGCTATAATAAATAGAGAAAAATGGCAACAGTGTATTAGCCCATGCAGATCAAATAAGGAGCCAGGGTGAATATGAAGAGCAAAATAATGAAGAAATGTCTACGATTCCGTCCGTTAATGATTTATTAGAACAACCGTTACAGAATGAAACATCAGAAGACGAAATAATGCAGGATCAAGTGGGACAGAATGAGTTTGAAAGTTCGGACGAAGATCAAATAATGCAAGAAAATGCCTATGATTACAGCTTAGCGCGGGACAGATCTAGGTCTCCCAAAAAAGAAATGAGAGAGAGGGAGAGAGAAGAGAGCAAAGTAATGAAACTATCACGAGAAGAAACTACACGAGAAGAAGTACAAGAACTACTAGAGGTATAAAACCTATACATTTCAGGGAGATGTAGTGACACTGGCAAATTAATATGCCTAATTTGCATAAGTGCAAGAAAAAGCCTATATAACTCATCACTGAGAATAACGTGGGACGAAGACAAGCGACTTTAAGCGACTAAATGCTCCAGTAGTTCAATTGCTCAAAAATGCTGCTTTTAAAAAATGGAAGATTAAATAACTGGATCATTTCCAGACAAACTTAATATCTAAGTTTCTTCATATCTATCTAAATCTGTTCATATCTATCTAAATATATTCATATCATCTATCTATCTATCTATCTATCTATCTATCTATCTATCTAAGTTTCTTCATATCTATCTCAACCTATTCATATCTATCTCAACCTATTCATATCTATCTATCTATCTATCTATCTATCTATCTATCTATCTGACTCTCTTCATATCTATCTATCCAGCTATCTATTCATATATATCTATTTATCTCCGTTTCCCATTTTCTTCATATCTATCTATCTATCTATCTATCTATCTATCTATCTATCTATCTATCTATCTCAACCTATTCATATCTATCTCAACCTATTCATATCTATCTATCTATCTATCTATCTATCTATCTGATTCTCTTCATGTCGATCTATCCAGCTATCTATTCATATATACCTATTTATCTCCCTTTCCCTTTTTTTCATATCTATCTATCTATCTATCTATCTCAACCTATTCATATCTATCTATCTATCTATCTATCTTCATGTCATATCCATATCTATTCATCAACATATTTATCTCCCTTATCTTTTTCAATCTATTCATATCTATCTATCTATCCATCTATCTCAACATATATCTATCTATCTCATCATATTCATATCTATCTCAACCTATTCATGTCTATCTATCCATCTATCTATTCATATATATCTATTTATCTCCTGTTCATATCAATCTTTTTCTATCTATCTATCTATCTATCTATCTATCTATCTATCTATCTATTTCATTATTCATATCTATCATATATATCTATTTATCTACTTTTCATTCTTCATCTATCTATCTATCTATCTATCTATCTATTTCATTGTTCATATCTATCTATCTATCTATCTATCTATCTATCTATCTATCTATCTATCTATCTATCTCATATGATGCATATCCTTTTTATAACTCTTACTGTCTCCGACCACTCATATCCATCTGTGTACATCATTCTATCTATCTCTTCGACTATCTAATGAATGCATACAAATAATAACCATGAGTAGACCTCATGGGAAATTTCACAATTTCCCCATTTAAATTTTCTGATGAATCATAATTCTTAATTTAATGTTTGAATAATCTCCTTGGGAGTTCTGTGACTATAAAATACTGAAAGAAATTCGCCTATTGCATGGTAAAATATTTGAGCTTCTTCAACTTTAGCAAAATTATCACCTGTGAAGCCCCCTTCGGATTTCTTGATTCCTTGCCACCTACAATCCTAAAAAATTTAAATGCAATGCCAATTGTCTTCTATTTTCCTGAAACCTATTCTGTTATTGTTCTTTTTCTCATTTCTCCTTACCAAATTCTTCTCATTCTCTTTCATTCCCTGTAACCCCCTTTTTCCTAGTGGCCTTGCTTGGGGTGAAATAATTAAAAAAAAAGAGATTTATTTTAATAAGTTTGTTTAGTACAGGGGTTTCAAATTCAAGGTCACACAAGGGCCAATATTTGCTGAGGAAAAGATGAACCAGAAGGAATTACTAGGGATGTTGGATGGAATGACACAGACATGTAGACACACACACACACACACATATCTGTAAATATCTATAAACAATCTATCTATCTCTCTCTCTCTCTCTCTCTCTCTCTCTCTCTCTCTCTCTATATATATATATATATATATATATATATATATATATATATATATATATATATATATATATTATACTAATTGCAATACTCATTTAATAAAAAAACCTCAGATAGTTCAATATGTCAAAACAAATGAGTAGCCAAGGAAAAAATTGGAAATAAAAGAAAGAAAGAACTAAAAACATTCGAACATGGTGAAATAAATCGACCAGTTCCTTAAGTCTTTAGTCCAAAGAAAAAATCCCAACCAAGTAGTAAGACTAAAATGTAGAGTGCTCAATACACTAAGTAGAGCGGGAATAACTAAAATAAATCCTAAAGAGCCAGGAAAACCTATCTAGGTTTGACCTAACAAGGGGTGCTATTCCTTAACAAGGGGTGCTATTCCTTGTCCTATATCTGGAGTGCAGTGTGAGTCTCAAGCTGGCCTTAAATGACATTGAAGGCTCAATCCTATGTTGGGTATCAAGGCAGGTCATGTTGAACCCACATACATCAAAATCAATGGGGAGAGTTCATCTTATAATGAGAGATAGAGAAGGCAATCAAAACCTCTCAATGTCAATCTGATCGATATAGTTCACTGGCATGGGTTGCAGTGTAAAATCAGTAACAGAATGCAGATCCTTCATTGTATATATTCTATGTTGACTGCATAACTGAATATACTAAAGTATGACGTGTAGGGAGTGTAACTGTTGATCAAAGTTAGGTTTGAGGAGGGAATATTTTTCTTTAAAAAAAAAAAAGAAAGATTTTAATAAATTCTAAGCATTATATAATTTTGAAGATAGTGTAAGACAGAGGTTACAAACTCAAGGACACACAATGTGCTGAGGGACAGATTCAGTATCATGGGACTGTGGAGTGTGTGAATGTGGATGTTTTCCCAATAATGGGGTCTGTGGACTCCCTAAGGAAGATGTTCAACAGACCCACAAAGTTGAAGTAAATCAGTTTTGTAATTTTGGGAATTGTGAAAAAGTGAATTTGAGAGAGAGAGAGAGAGAGAGAGAGAGATAGAGAGAGAGCGCGCGCGCGCGCAATATAGAAGAGGCTGGCTGGAATTCAATATTTCAGCTATTCATATTTATTAAGTACAACTTAAAAAAACGCAAAAGTTACACATTATCACTAAAAAGAATCATTGATTCTCAAAATACGAGACAATCCCATATTTTGTGGGATATTTATTAACTGTATTTACTTCCATCATAAAATATAAATTTCCCCACTTATCTTGAAATTGCTCATTCTCTTTGGCAATTATCTTTTTCTTTAATAATGTTGAAATTTTTTTTTTATTTCAGTTATGTCAATGATCAAAAACACATCTTTCTTCTTTGAAATTTTTTATTATTTAACAATTTTCTGTCAAACCTCTTTTTAACAATGGTCGTTTTTTACATTACATGTGTCCCATCCACCCAATATAAAATCAAATCTATTTGTCCCCCCATTATGAAAGAAATTCTCATTTTCTGTTGTTCATGATGGTTATCTCTCACCTTGCATATCTCTTCAACCTCGGTATTTTATCAAATCTCTTGCTATAAAAAGAATTTTCAGTTCTATGTGTAGTCCGTTTGTCATCTCGGCTACACCCTTACATTAATATGCGTAGCGAAATTTATCACTTCTCTCCTTATGAAAAAACTTTCCATTTCTGAGTTGCGTAGTGAGTCCTGAGAAAAAAATTAAATAAAATATGAAATTAAAATATATAAAGAAAAATAAAAAGAATTCAAATTAAAATAAGGTATTTGCTTTCTTTTTTTTTGTTGCCCTTATCCGTTTCTCTCTCTCTCTCTCTCTCTCTCTCTCTTTCACGTTATCCTTCTCTCTCTAGCTTTCTCTTTCTATCCTGCTCTTTCTATACTTCTCTCTCAACTAACAAGAAAGCAAGCTTCATATAAAAAGAGGAAAAAGGAGAAAAGATTAAACCCAGACAAAAAATTACCAAAACCCAGTTATTTATGACTATGAATAAACCAAAATAAGACAGTCTTCACTCATAATTTCTGCTACATACAAAAATGATAAAGAAAGGAATATCGGAAAATAAAATAATTTTGGCCAATCAAAAAAATTAACACAAAGAGACTTTTGATGCTAGCCAAAAGAAAGGTCCACACCAGATTCTGGTCAAAATGATATAAGCTGACAGCTCTGTGCTAGATGTGCAGAAAGGTTGGTAAGCAAAATCAGCAAACAAGGGAAACCAACCATGCGTAACACATGAAATAGTTACAAGGTTATCTGTTAATGATATTTCTTGTGCTTCTTAGGGCTGAAAAAAAAATTACAATAGATTGATGCTGATCTATTTCCAAGATGACTACTACTATCAAGTTCTGACTTCTCAAGTGTCGAAAATACCCACGACCGAGCTGAAACGGACTTTCCCTGGACTGGTACTAAAATCTTTTTTATAAACGAACATATTGCTAACCCAAATATTAAAAGGCACACTCAAAATCTAAATCTTCATTTCCTGAAATGGAGGCAATGGAACAGATTCTCAGTGACTTTACTGAGCAACCCAGGTACATGAAGGTTAGATGTCAGCCTACTTCAAGAAATAAACATGGGAAGAACGTCTACACAAACGTCATTGAACCAATCCTCAGAAATGCCAGCATAAAGACTGACAACACTGGGTTCGGTTCAAAATTCAAAGAAATATCACCTGAAGAAAGCCAGCGTGTATAATGACCAAAACATTGTGAATGTGACAATAGAGATGAGAACAACAGTTCGAACAATGTAGCAAAATCCCGTCAACACTGCACTTTTCCGACCTCTGTTGAAACACTTAAATATTTAAATTTGTCTACTTGTTTGATTTTGATATCTCTAATTTGTGATTTTCTCTTCTTTTTGCTAACAGCCGCACATTTTGTCTTCCCGCAATTGATGTTTAGTCCTTTCTTTCTCACTTTCCTTAATTATATTTTGTAGTTTTTGCAGTTTTCTTTCTGTGTCTGCTTTTAACATTGTGTTATCTGCATATCTTATGTCATAAGATTGCGGCTACCATTTATTTATCTATTTATTTTTTTTGATCATGTTCACCCCAAGAAAAGCAGTAAAGCCACTAAGACACAAAACGTTACTGGGTGTGAAAGAATTAGCAAACAGAAAGGAGCGGGAAGAAAAAAAGAGTAATCAAAAGGACAGTAGATAGCAACTGACATTGCATTTAAAATTTTTGCAGATTATAGTTGACTGGAAAGCATGAAGCAGCAAGGGATTTAAAAAAGCAATAACAGCAAGAAAAAAAAAAGCATAGAATTTAAGGTTGCATCTCGCCAACTCAACTGTGAATTGATGAGACCTTGTCACCAGTCTAGGTATGATAGCAAAGAGCTCATCTGAACAATTACTATTGAAGTATTTATATTACATTTTGAAACTTTTGAAAATTATACTTGGTGTACTGAAGAACCTCTTGGTCTGACCTACTTTCCAAAATATGTATTTCAATGTCTAAAGATCAGAATATAGATTCTGGGATATCAGTCTCTTTGAAAACTATTGTATTTAGTTCTCTGTAATTTGCCAATTTTAATTTATTCCCTTCTTTTTGTATTTTATCAATTCTTGATTTGATTGCCACCCAAAGGAATAAATTGAAGATGATTCTGATTTATTGATACAAAGATAGAGACAAAACAGTTTTAATCTATATTTAATTAATATTTTGTTTTTGTACAGATCCCTTTAGCCTTCAACATGCTCAAACCAGACCCATAATTACTTGCTCACAAGGACTCACTGTTTGCATGACTTCCTGTATCATTTGCAATGGTGTTATCATATATTATGGTAAAGCATGCATGAGATTATGGTGGGTTCAGCAATAAGAGCTGATATTTATGAGGCAAGTTTGGGTGGATTCAATGCTAAAGAATTAAGGGACATTTGGGGGTTCTATGATATATGTCTTGTAATTTTTTAACTCTTTAGGCTTTCTTTACTTATTATGCATCCCAGGAATTTCAATAGTCTCATTCTCACTGGAAGTGTTCTTGGAGTTGCTCTTTTCCTTAAGACTAACCCATTGCTTTTATGTTCAATCTGTGAATTATCATCAGCATGTGTCAGTAGAACCACATCTCTGCCACTTCAATCTCTATGTCATCTGTGAAGTGGTTGACCAGCATTCATTGCCATCAAGCACTTAACCCTTTAACATGCGGCACAATCTACCACCCGCTGTAAATATCAGCTCTAAGAGTCTCACTTATTTGTGGTCAGTTTCACTGTTTGAATGATTTCCTGCATCATTTTCAACAGTGTTGTCAAATATTATAGCAGAGGATGCATGGGGTGGGTTATGGCAGTTGAACATTGAGAGCCAATATTTATGAAGTTTGGGCAGGTGGA